AGGCACCCCCGAGCTGAGCCGGCTGACTGCGCAAGGACTGGCCTCAGGGGGCGGGCAGGCCCCAGCCAGTGCGAGCCTCCCCGGCCGCGCCCCCTCGAGCCTCCCCGGCCGCGCCCCCTCGTTTGGGGTCGCTTCTGAGCCCTCTTTCTTGCCTTTCCTTCATCAGAGCTTACTGTCATTTAATCCCTGAGAGGAAACTCGAGGACTGGGCTTTCCCGAAGGAAGGTCAGCAAACGGCAGACGGAGGCGCGTCTGGGCCCCTTCGCTTCCGCTACCGTCTCCTCCGCCCCATCGCCTGCCAGCCCCCCTCGGGCTCTGGCCTTTGCTCTGGCCGGGAATATCTAGTTCAGGCTTTTCCCACAAGTGGCAGGAGTCATCACCCACCTGGAAAAGCTCTTCGGCCTTGGCCGGCGCGCGCTCTCGGCTGGGAGCTGAGATCCCGCCATCCTCCTCCGTGCCAGCCAGCCGCGGGGGGCCACGCGAGGCCCCTGCTGCTTCCTCTGTCTTATGAGGGGGTTCACTCACTACTTGGGGGTCTACACATACAGGCATGAGGCCCAGCTGCAGCGCTTCCTACACCCGGGTGAGGCCCACACCTGTGGAGTGACCCGCAATTTGACTAAAATTGTAAGAACTCAAGTAGGCGGATGGACACAAGAATCAACTTCCTGCCGACCCCTTTGGGGCCTCTCTTGTCTGCCCCCCAGTCCCTCACTGTCTCACACAGTCTACTTCTGAGAATTAGAAGTGGCAAGCCAGGAGAGGCCCCTGGGCCCACGCCAGACAGCCTTAGCCTCCTGCCACATCCTGACCAGACAATTCAGTCTCGGATGGGTCAGTTGATCTAAGCCTCAGCTTTCTCATCTGAAAAATGGGTTCAAGATAGCAAGCTCATACTGACTTGAGTGATTCCATACCGCTGTGTAGGTGGAAATTTCCATATGTGGAAATGCCTCAGACTGTCTGTTAATAGAAGGTCCCTGTTTAAATATTTCTTGGGTCTGGATGCTTTAGGATAAGAGCCCACAGCAGCTGTAGTTTCCATGATTCTGTGGAATTAATATTTGAGCATGTCAAACCTCAAAAAAAAAAATGTTGCTTTTCATTAATCTTCCAGCATATTCCTTTAGAATATTCCAGCGCCTTGTCCAGCTCTGGTCCTCTGCCTCAGAGTCAGAAACTACACAGCCCTTTCAACCAACACAATGGCAAGACAGTCATTCCCAAGGTACTAGGAAATTCTCTCTCCCTGGCTCCATTTTTTTTTTCCCCCTTGACAACAGAAAGCTTTTTTTCCCTTCCAGAGAAGAAGTGACATCAACCTGTTTAAATTCTGGCAGAAATGGAGTCACTAAAATGGAAAAAGGGAAAAAAAATTGGCAACAGCTTGGAATGAGAAGTTGCCCAGCAATTATTTGGTTGTGTATTTCATAAACACAGAGATCTCGTCCTGCCGGCAGTGGCTGTCTCTGCAGTCAGTGCTTGATTCTAAATCTCTTTCCACTGCACACGACATGTTGATGGCATCAGCGTCTTGACTGCTCTTTTGGCCACACACTTCGCACTTTCCCCGTCCCGATGAGGTTGGGGGGCCGCTCACCCATGTCTTGCATTTGGATCTGGCCCTGCATTTGCTTGGGCCGTTGGATGCTGGCAGTCATGATACAAATAGAAGCTTTTAAAAGTGCTGTGTGTTGCGACTGCTTCTTTGGAGACCCTGGTGTCACCATGGAAACACATCGGGGCAGCCTGCTAGGGGATGAGAGAGACGAAAGGAGGGCAGCAGAGGGGTTCGGACCAGGGCCATGTAGACCAGCTGAGCGAGCAAACCCAGCCACTTCAGCAGAGTCACCTAGTGGGCCACACACGTAGGAGCAGAAGCAACTGCTAAAAGCACCCACGTCTCATGGCTGTGTCTCCACACCCGTAACTAACGGACACCGTGCATTGGCCTAAAGTATTGGCACGTGGGGTGGCTTCTCCAGTCGAAATGGTGAGCAAGGACCTGTGATTGGAGTGTTAGGGTGTCACAGCCAGCCTCCTGCAGAGGTGGTTTTGCCATCTCCATGCTAAGCAAACCACCCTTTAAGAGCCCCGAAATGCAGCCGGCACATCCTGTCTGCCCCTTCAGATTGGCACCCCTCCCTGCTCGAACGTCCCTGCCTCTCTGTTGGAATCGCTCCAAATCTACAAGGACATATTTAAAAGTGGTCTTTTCTGAATGACTGATACTGCCCTCTGCCCACGGTGCCGCTCCAGTCTATTAACTCGTAGGTCATTTCTTGCCTGAGCCATAAATCGGGTCCCTAATATGTGCCACCTCCTCCCGGGGCTCCTGTTTCTTATGTATAGTTGCTTATTAAGCCAGACCCCACTGGTGGGGGAGCGCCTGTGGGTCACCCTTCTATTCCCCTGAGTCTTGCCCAATTCCTTGAAAAGGGAAGTGGGGGGCCTTTCACAGAACATATCAGTCTTTGGAGGTTCCCTGACATTGGGGCTAGTTATTAGGGTTATTGATAATTGGCAAATCAAAAGAGGCCCTCCTTGGTAGTGCAACAGGTTAGGACGCAGCACTGCAAGCTAACCGCAGCCGCTACAATGTGAGTTCGATCCCCATCCCCGAAGGCGACCCACAGGGCCCAGCAGACCTCTCCTGACCTGCCTGCTGCTCCCCTCAGCGGTGTACTTTGTCGATCTGCCTGTTCTGCTCCCTGCTCTGTCTGGTAAATCCTTTTACCATCCCTGTACCTCTAGCCTGTACCCCAGTTCTCTATGCATAAATAAATATATCTTAAAAAAAAAAACAAAAAGAAGAAGAAGAGACGTATATAAATGAAAATAAAATTGGTCTTCCTGGTGGTGCAAGGGGTTAAAGTGCAGCACTATGAGGCTGTCCACAGCCACAGCAGCATGAGTTCGATCCCTGGCCAGGGAGTGACCCAGAGGGTACAGCAGACCTCTCCTGACCCTGTTCTGCCCCTCACTGTCTCTGGTGAACCCTCTCACCCCCTGCACCTCTGGCCTGTACCCCAGTTCTTGTATGCATAAATAAACAAATCTTAAAAATCCAACCAGCCTATTTGCTTGCTTAAAAGACAAAACACCCTCCATTGCTGCCTTCTCCCATGGAGTCAAAGACCAGCTCTTGGGGTGTCAGATGGCCGCCAGGACCAACCCCAGCCTGCTTTATTTACTCCAACCTTATTTACTTCACGTATTCTGACTCGAGAAGGTAGTAGAAGCCCCACTGCCCACGCCAGACTCCTTCCCCCAGCCACCTGCTGCTCTTCCTCCCAGTCTCAATCTGACCTGCCTACCCCCACCACCCGCCAACTTCCCCCAAGGCCTCTAGGGGCCGCACAAGCCCTGTGCACAATATTGCACCGTGATGGTGTGAAAAACAGACGAAACTGAAGCTGCATCTCTGTGCGTGCTGAGTGCCCAGAGCGTAGCCACAGCCCAAGGGGCTGAAGGTGGCACAGGCGCCTGCTGTCCCGTGGCCGGAGACACCCGGGGGCTACCCTAGGTCTGGGCCTGACTAGGGTGCCCGTGTCCTCGGGCCCCATCCCCTCTGGAGCCCGGTAGCTGCAGGAGGCTCAGGTGACCTGGGTTTGATGTCACCTGTCGCACGCAGGCACTCCCTGCCATCCCGGGTGCCCAGCCCCCACGGGGCCAAGGGACATCGATGGTGATGACAGCAGCTGATATCCAGCGCAAACTTCATGGAGCGACATTGTCCCGAGTGCCTTAAGTGAGTGAGTCCGTTCAAGTCCCACGGCAGTGTCAGGGAGGGCCAGCTATTAGTATCTCCGTTTTATAGATAGGGTTACAATAGGTTAATTAACTTTCCTCTGATCACACAGATCTATTGAATCTGTTAAAAATAGAGTCTGCGTGGCAGCCCAGGCAGCTGACTCCCGAGCCCACCTCGTGCGTCCCCAGGGCCCCTTCTCCCATTGTCCAGTCTGTCTTCTCCCAAGCTGGACGGAGAGGTCAGTGGAAAAGGGGCAACAGGGGAAGGGGGCTGATTTTTTAATTCAGTTTACTTACACCCCCTCATGATGACTACATACTTAATGCTACCTATTTAATTCACCTTTTCTTAGTTCTCTCTGTATCTATTTACCCACGAAGGTAGATGTTGTACAGCCAAGCAGGAGTGATTAGCAAATAAGCCACGATGCAAACAGTTTTGTTTTTTTGCAACCATCTCTGTATGTCTGTGGCCTGCAAACCACACTGTTGCTTCCTCTTAGACTTTGGGCGAAAGCACCGCACTGATCACTCAGTGCCTGCCAAGGTCCGTGGCACCTTCGGGAGAGGCCCGCTCTGGTCCACATGGCACTCATCCCACGAGTGGCATCTTTCTTCCTCTTTCTGAGTAAGTTTCTCGTTCTGCATTCTCGTTTTGCATGTTCCTATAGTTACGGCGCTAGTCACCCATGATGGCTTTACAGCAAGACCAGGCCACACGGCTCTGGTGGTGATGCTAATGACTTCTTGATGTTGACTCTGGCTTAGCAAGACTTCTTTGGGTCTCAGGGGTGCCCTGCTGATCTTGCTGGTTTTTACATTCGTCTATGTGCCAGCCTGGCCCTGTTGCTGGTCCTGCCCTTATCATCTGGGGCTCACCCATCCCTATAGAAAGGGACTTAGCTCCTCCAACCTAAGGTTTGTGTGATGTTGGAGCTTAGTGAGTCAAGGATGTTTTGGGTGTGGCTTGATGGAGGAAAAGGTTATGCAGTTAGTAGTTTGCTAAGCTCAGAGAAGATTCTGGACTTCACCCGTGGGCTGAAGTGTTGGTTGACAACTGAGAGAGAAAGGAGGGGCTGGGGGCAGGAGCCACTTGGCTCTACAGAGGGGCTTATGGTGGGAGGGGAGGACTTAACAGGGCCGGGGCATTGAGACATGTTACAGAGTGGAAAAACTGAGGAAGGTGAGAGAACAGATGAACCAGTCAGGAAATGAAATCACTGGGTGGTTCCAGAGTTTCAGAGAAGGTAGCGGGTACTTTTTAATATATGGCTTCCATTTCAGAATAATTTTTCCAATGAATAAAATAAGATGCATAGAATTCTAGGGAAGGTCCATCATGTTGAAATGCAGTGATCAACACTTTTTAAATAAAAACATTTGATTATTTTACTTATGCATTTTATAGCAAAATCTAAAGGTGGGCGATTAACCACCAGACTTGAAAACCAACAGGATGAGGACAAACAATATTTCAAGGTGCCTACGAGTCTCATGTGATAAGGAAATGGCTGTGGTTTGTTGGCTACCTTCGCAACTGAAGGAAATGCTAAATTCCCTTGAAGATTGGTGAAAATGAAAATAAAGGTTTTTCCTTGCTGCCAACTTCATGGACCCTTTAATGCTCTCTGTGGGTCCGGGTTAAGAACTGCTGCTTTGGAGAGACGAGATGGAGCTCGTGCGGGACCGGGGACGCAGGGGCACTGAGCGAACTTGGGATCAGCGTGGCCAGGGCCAAGGCTCACGCAGCCAGAGGGCACAGCAGCACGCTGGCTAAAATGGGCTCGAGTGGACCTGGGCTCATGTCCGCAGGGACGAGGGCGAGTGTGAGGCGAGCAGATCTCGAGCCCCGCGGGGTGAGAGGCTTGGAAGTCGCCAGCTGCTGCCGTGAGGGGTTGGCTGCCACACTGCCCGGTGGTGCTGGTGAGTGGGCGACTGGTGGGTGATGAGTAGAGAGACGGCAGGTTCCTGCAGGGCCCCCGCTGGTCTGTTCCGTTGACCTCCTTTAGTTTTCTGAGTTTGATTCTCAAGCGCATGAGCTGAAGTGTGTTTGAAGTGCATTTGGCTGGTGCATAGGGAACTGGGCTTGCATGGTTGCACTGTGCAATGAGTCAAGTGATTACAAATTCTGTCTCTTGTTCTTTTTTTTTCTTCCTGTGAGCAGGCTAGAAGGCCCGAGCAAAGTAGTAGCTAGCAGTAACCCGTGGCTCAAAAAGGAGAACTTAGGAGCTTTTCTCTAACTCATTCCAACAGTTACTAAACTAAGCTGTCCATTTATTACTTCTACTTTCTGGCTCATCCTAAGCACTCATTTTGAGTAGAACCACAGCTTTTACGAAAGGGGCACCCAACTCAGGAAGCCACTGAGAAGAGCTTTGGAGTCTGCTATTGGCCATTGCAAATACAGTAGGGGTGCGGGGGGAGAGGGACAGGAAGAGAGAAATTAATGAAAGGGTGAGCAACTGTTTGTATGCTTTGTCCTAATTGCTTTTATTTTTAAGATTTGTTTACTCATGCGTACAGAACTGGGGTACAGGCCAGAGGCTCAGGAGCGGTGAGAGGCATCACCAGAGACAGAGTGGGGAGCAGAACAGGCAGATCGACGAAGTACACTGCTGAGGGGGTCAGTGGGAGGGTCAGGAGAGGTCTGCGAACCATGTGGTCACCTC